CAAGAAAGCCGCGCAGACCATCAATCAGGGGCGGCAGAGCGGGGGGTGATGATTAGGGGGAGTGATATCATGGCGGGGGCCATGGTATCTCCCCGGGTGTCATGGCGCGTCTTCTTCTTGCAATGCGTCCCCGGGCCCCCCCCTGGGCCGCGCGCGTGCCGCCGGCCATGATCTGCCCCCCCGTCCTCCTCTTGCACGCCTCCCACCCCCCCCTGGCCGCCCCCGAGTCCGCAGTCTGTGCTTCTGCAGCGCTTTTCCTCCTCCCCGCGAGGAGCCCCGGGCCGCCCGAGGCGCTGCAGGCGGCGGCCCCCGCGGGGCGGGTGCGCGTGCGCGCGCTGCGCATGGAGCGGCTGCTGGCGGGCGTGGGCTGGCGGAGCCCCGTCGGCCTGCTGAAGATGGACTGCGAGGCCTGCCGCCTGCCTCCGGCAGCGCGCCGCCTCGCGCGGCCTCCTGCTCCTCCTCCTCCTCCTCCTCCTCCTCCTCCTCCTCCTCCTCCTGCTCCTCCTCCTGCTCCTCCTCCTGCTCCTCCCTGCTCCACCTCCTCCTCCTCCTCCTCCTCCTCCTTCTCTGTCCTCGCGCTGGCCGCGAGAGAGAGAGAGAGAGAAAAGCACGGCGGAGAGCTCGGGCCTCGGGACCGCCCCAGAGAGGTCCGAGGGTCTCATTTTTCCTCCGGTCCGGCGATGTCTTTCCTGCATGTGGGCCTCGCGTGGGCCCGTTGTCGAGCCTGGGGGCCATCAAGCATGGAGCCAGGACGGACAACCACCCCGGGGGAAAGGGGTCGGGACCTTTGTGGCCGCGAATTTCGAACATCATATCGGCGGGTGTCTGGGCCGGGGGAACGGTCCGGCCCGCAGGATGGACCCGCCCTCCGGGGGCCCGCCCTGCAGCGCAGCGCAGCTGCGGAGGCTTCGCTACGCTTTTCGCCCGAGGAGGACGGGAGCTGATATGGAGCTGTTGGGCAGAGGAGGGCGTGGGGGGACCTCCCAAAGGGATGTGTTCGGCGGTGTCAGTTTGTCCTGGTGGCTTCCCAGACGTTTCCAGAGGGCAGGTCTTGTCTGATGCCTCTTCAAGGTTCCGCTGGCTTCTTGGGGAGGGAGGACGGGAGGATCAGGATCGGGGGGCGCCTGTCCCTACTGATCCTCTTCCTGATCCTCTTCCTCCTTATTGCAAGGGCCTTCCAGCCAGTGCCGCCGACCCTGAGTGGTGACGACGACGGCGACGACGACGATGACCACGGCGACGACGACGACGACGACGACGACGACGACGACGACGACGACGACGACGGCGGCGGCGGCGACGGCGACGACGACGACGACTACGACGATGGCTACGCATTCTACGACGACTACGAGTTCTACGTCGACAACTATGACTTCTACGACGACTGCGACGACTACGACGACTACGACGACTACGTCGACTACGTCGACTACGACGGCGACGGCGACCGCGACGACGACGACGACGACAACGACGACTACGACGATGACGGCGACGGCGACGATGACGACGACGGCGACGGCGACGGCGACGACGACGGCGGCGGCGGCGGCGGCGGCGACGACGACGACGCCGCTCTGGAGCGGGAAGCTTTTCCCAGAGGGGGGGGCTGGCTCTCCTGGTCCTCCTCCCGATCCTCTTCCTGCTTGCTTGTCGCGCAAGCGTCAGGAGGGAAAGAAACACACAGACACAATTAGTCGTCGACTCCCGGGAACATATGGGACAATATGGGAATTGGGGAGGTGAAGACAAAAACCCAGAAAATATCAAAACAAAACATTGGGATCATTTTATTACATAGTGTGTATTTATTTGTGTTTCCTTGGGCCCCTTGAAAGCGTCCTTCCCAGGCGCCGCGCGCAGGCCCCCCCCGCGCCCCCGGCGGGACCGCACCCCGGGAGCGCGCGACGATTTCCCCCCCCCCGCGTCCCCCGAGGCTGTGTGTCGTATACCCGGCCGTCGTGGGTTGTCTGCGGTGCCCCAGTTCTTCGTGGCATGCGGCATAAGCATAAAAAACTCGAGTCCCCGCGGATTTTCTCGATCGGCGCTGGGGCCCCCCCAGGCGGCTGCCGTCCCGGCCGCCGCCCCTGGCGCGCTCCGCGCGCCAGGGAGGGGGGTCCAGCGCCGATCCGAGAAATCCGCGCGGACCTCCGAGTTTTTATGTTTACGTCACTTGTTGTTCCCCTAGTTCTGGCTCGGGCGAGCAGGAAGGGCGGGCAGGGCAGGCTCGAGCGGCCAGGTTGGAATCGGGCCTGTCCCTCTGCAGGAGGAAGATCCCAACATCATCAAAAATTATCCTGGCGAAAGACCCAACCATAAGCAATTGTTGGTAACGCGTTGTGGGTGCCGCTTTCGGTGGGGCTCCATATGGGGCCACGAAGCGCTGCCTTGGATGGGGGAACCGCAAGCGGACTGCGCCACCGGGGCGGGCCTTCGGTGGAGCTCCCTATGGGGCTACGAAACGCTGCCCTGGGTGGGGAACCGCATGCGAACTGCGCCACTGGGGCCTTCGGTGGAGCTCCCTATGGTGCCACGAAACGCTGCCCTGGGTGGGGGAAGCGCATGCGAACTGCGCCACGGGGGCTTTCGGTGGAGCTCCCCATGGGGCCACGAAGCGCGGCCCTGGGTGGGGGAACCGCATGCGAGAGCAGCCACTGGGGCCTCCGGTGGAGCTCCCTATGGGGCCACGAAGCGCTGCCCTGGGTGGGGGAACCGCATGCGAACACCCCCACTGGGGCCTTCGGTGGAGCTCCCTATGGGGCCACGAAACGCTGCCCTGGGTGGGGGAACCGCATGCGAACACCCCCACTGGGGCCTTCGGTGGAGCTCCCTATGGGGCCACGAAACGCTGCCCTGGGTGGGGGAACCGCGTGCGAACACCCCCACTGGGGCCTTCGGTGGAGCTCCCTATGGGGCCACGAAACGCTGCCCTGGGTGGGGGACCGCATGCGAACACCCCCACTGGGGCCTTCGGTGGAGCTCCCTATGGGGCTACGAAACGCTGCCCTGGGTGGGGGAACCGCATGCGAACACCCCCACTGGGGCCTTCGGTGGAGCTCCCTATGGGGCCACGAAACGCTGCCCTGGGTGGGGGAACCGCATGCGAACACCCCCACTGGGGCCTTCGGTGGAGCTCCCTATGGGGCTACGAAACGCTGCCCTGGGTGGGGGAACCGCATGCGAACACCCCCACTGGGGCCTTCGGTGGAGCTCCCTATGGGGCCACGAAACGCTGCCCTGGGTGGGGGAACCGCATGCGAACACCCCCACTGGGGCCTTCGGTGGAGCTCCCTATGGGGCCACGAAACGCTGCCCTGGGTGGGGGAACCGCATGCGAACACCCCCACTGGGGCCTTCGGTGGAGCTCCCTATGGGGCTACAAACGCTGCCCTGGGTGGGGGAACCGCACGAACACCCCCACTGGGGCCTTCGGTGGAGCTCCCTATGGGGCCACGAACCGCTGTGGGTGGGGGAACCGCATGCGAACACCCCCACTGGGGCCTTCGGTGGAGCTCCCTATGGGGCCACGAAACGCTGCCCTGGGTGGGGGAACCGCATGCGAACACCCCCACTGGGGCCTTCGGTGGAGCTCCCTATGGGGCTACGAAACGCTGCCCTGGGTGGGGGAACCGCATGCGAACACCCCCACTGGGGCCTTCGGTGGAGCTCCCTATGGGGCCACGAAACGCTGCCCTGGGTGGGGGAACCGCATGCGAACACCCCCACTGGGGCCTTCGGTGGAGCTCCCTATGGGGCCACGAAACGCTGCCCTGGGTGGGGAACCGCATGCGAACACCCCCACTGGGGCCTTCGGTGGAGCTCCCTATGGGGCCACGAAACGCTGCCCTGGGTGGGGGAACCGCATGCGAACACCCCCACTGGGGCCTTCGGTGGAGCTCCCTATGGGGCCACGAAACGCTGCCCTGGGTGGGGGAACCGCATGCGAACACCCCCACTGGGGCCTTCGGTGGAGCTCCCTATGGGGCCACGAAACGCTGCCCTGGGTGGGGGAACCGCATGCGAACACCCCCACTGGGGCCTTCGGTGGAGCTCCCTATGGGGCTACGAAGCGCTGCCCTGGGTGGGGGAACCGCATGCGAACACCCCCACTGGGGCCTTCGGTGGAGCTCCCTATGGGGCCACGAAACGCTGCCCTGGGTGGGGGAACCGCATGCGAACACCCCCACTGGGGCCTTCGGTGGAGCTCCCTATGGGGCTACGAAACGCTGCCCTGGGTGGGGGAACCGCATGCGAACACCCCCACTGGGGCCTTCGGTGGAGCTCCCTATGGGGCCACGAAACGCTGCCCTGGGTGGGGGAACCGCATGCGAACACCCCCACTGGGGCCTTCGGTGGAGCTCCCTATGGGGCCACGAAACGCTGCCCTGGGTGGGGGAACCGCATGCGAACACCCCCACTGGGGCCTTCGGTGGAGCTCCCTATGGGGCCACGAAACGCTGCCCTGGGTGGGGGAACCGCATGCGAACACCCCCACTGGGGCCTTCGGTGGAGCTCCCTATGGGGCTACGAAACGCTGCCCTGGGTGGGGGAACCGCATGCGAACACCCCCACTGGGGCCTTCGGTGGAGCTCCCTATGGGGCCACGAAACGCTGCCCTGGGTGGGGGAACCGCATGCGAACACCCCCACTGGGGCCTTCGGTGGAGCTCCCTATGGGGCTACGAAACGCTGCCCTGGGTGGGGGAACCGCATGCGAACACCCCCACTGGGGCCTTCGGTGGAGCTCCCTATGGGGCCACGAAACGCTGCCCTGGGTGGGGGAACCGCATGCGAACACCCCCACTGGGGCCTTCGGTGGAGCTCCCTATGGGGCTACGAAGCGCGTGAGAGGTGTGCCGAGAGCAGAGGCAAGGAGGGGGAGGAGGGAGGAGGGGGAAGAGGAGGAGGAGGAGAGGACGCGGGGCACCGTCTCTTCAAAACGAGGACCCAACACCACAGGATGGTTGGGAACAATAGTCTCGGGCTGACGTTTCCTCTTTTCTGCTGGAGTCTGTGTTGGGTATTTTTGTTTTCCGTCCAACATCCGCCTGCAGGAGGACACGACCGACCCAGCGCCAGGTTCGGGAAGGTGTTCTGCACTTTTTGGGCCGTCGGGCCCTGGGACCGTCGGGCGTGTCCCACTACAGGAATATACAACAGATAGTAACATCTTAACCAACTAGCAGCACAATCGTAACACCATAGTAACAACATAGTAACTACAAATATCGAATGATATAACACAACATAGTAACAACATAGTAACGACATAGTATGACATATAACAAAATAGCAACACAATAGTAACAAACCATATCGTTTAAACATTTCTGGTTATGTCTAATGTTCGTCAACATCTGCCTGTAGGGCGACACGCCCGACCTTAACCTGGGGTGAACAATTGC